GAATTACACAAGAGAGCGAGAAGGAGGCAATGCTTTTTTTCGCGGAAATTGTATTTTCTTTCTGGAATCGTAACAATACTTCGAATTCTCTCAACTGTTTCTTTGAGGAACTTATTATTACGGACAGAAATTTTAATGTACAAAAACGAACCCTAGCCTAAAGATCCTATGAGTATACGATCTTTAGGTTAAGGTTCGTTTTTATTCAGAGTTTTTTTGCGGATTCAAATTGAGACGAAAAACGAATCGAAACGTTGCTTCGTTTTTTCTTAATTTGATATCCAAAGTAGTAGAAAAACTAAGAAGTCCAACCCTGATAGTGAAAAAACTTGATGACCCAACCCTGACGTTACCGCATGGTTTGAAATTGAACGACCCATCCCTGTCGGTTGGGCATTTAATTATCTAACCTCACTTTTGGGAATTAGTCTCCTGAAGACCACACTGTAAAAAAGACCAATGTTGAATTACAATCGGGTCGTTAATTTTAAATTTTCCAGTTTGTAATTTTACTACGGTACACGTAATAATTTAACACCCATATAGTATTTTCACAATTAAAAAGTAAAATTATTACGCTTATCGTTGTAAATGTGTCACGCGTTAGTAAATGTACATCCCGAATGTTTAATCATTTCGTGATACATTGGAAACTTTTCGCTTCACGTATAACGTTGTATGTTAGCAACCCAACCGTAAAAATATTTTCGTGTGTTAAGTAACTTACAGCTGATAGTTTTACCGACAGTATGTAGAATTATGTAGCTGTCTGTAAGTATACATTCGAATATGATATTTTTTGCCCGAATGTTTTTCTACACTGCGTGACGATGAAGTGGCATATAAGAAACTATGCGCATAGGCAAACGTTAATATTTTAATTTTAATTTATTAAAATTTCGACAATTTTAAGAATTTAAAGATTAAAGGAAATTTGTAAAGGTAAGTTCAAATTCTTAACATTTTTCATTTCTTAAATTTGAAAGATTTCTTTTTAATTTTTCATATATATCAAAGTTAATAAGGTAATGTCTTTTAACCTAAAAAGAGACACGTTTTTAATGATTTTTTATACTTAAAAAATTTTATTCAACTGTGTGAATTTTCTGTATGAAAATAATTTTCAAACATAAAAAAATTTTTCAGAATATCTTCATGGACTCTATTGCTTAAGCAGCTCGTATTTTTTTTAAATTAAAGTGGAAAAAGTATTTGTTTTTCCTGTTCTGTTGGGGAATTTGTTAACTTTGTACAAATGACAAAAAAGCTACAAATGTGATTTGTATATTATAAATATTTAATATATTTATTTATTTCTTACATTTTTCCTTTATTTCCTTTTTATAATTTAACCTTTATGTAATACAAAATAAATATAAAAAAAGAATAATTTTAAAATGCAGCGAAATTATTATGTAAAATTACCGACGAGTGGTCGATTTACAATTTGATGCGAAATCACATAAGAGAGGTTATGTTACGAACGGTAAGTAAGTTAACATTCGGGCTGTAATAGTACTACGTCATACGTGAAGCGAAAAGTTTCCAACGTTACACGTTGTAAATTTACATTGGGCTTTTTTACAGTGCACTTTAACTTTCCTAAGATGAAACATTTCGTAAGTATTTTATTTCTATTCATTATTGAATTTTGATTACTTCCTTTTATTTTTTTCGCAGTATCACAGTTAGTAAATTATTTTCAACATTTCTAATCACTTTTACTATTTTTAGTCTCAATGGGAAAAAAATGCGACGCAAATGTGAAAAAGTTCAATTAAACATTCTATATTTAGCAAGAAAGAAGTTTATTCTCCCCTAATAATTTTCTGTTATTCGAAATATCCGGTTTTTAATGCGAAATTAATTTTATGCGCGTATATTTACTATTGCTGTTTTTAACTGCACTTGTTCCTCCACACTGTCTTTTTCTTTTCTTCTCTTGCTACTCGATTTGCAAATAAACGGATATCGAATGTCGCATCGAAACGAAAATTCCTGACAAGGACTCGCTCTTCTTTGTGTATAATTCCGTGATTATTTTTGCTATCGCCGTCGACAGTTTTCTCGACTATTAAATGGTGAGTGCGCCGTTTATTGAGCCAGAAATAGAAGCAGTGTCATTGCACTGAAGGAACTAACGAATCCTAAAAGAATTTTTTATTTTTTTCTTCTTTTCATTATTTATTACTAGTATCAGATGTTATTGTGATGTGCATGGAAAAATCAACGACTGAAAAATAGGTCCTTAATAAAGTGTTTGGAAAATCAACCACTGACAAATAGGTCTTTAATAAATTGTTTGGAAAAATAATGTACTTATTTTGTTCTCTTTAAATATTTATTACTAGTGCCAGATGCTATTGTGATGTTAGTCATACTTGTATTGAAAAAGAGACAATTTTTATTCTAAAGTAAAAAAATAAGTAGGAGAGAAAAAACGTACAAATAGTAGATATTTTCAAAGTCTGTTGAAATAATTATCCTGGGAATGATAATTTGAATTTTTTATTGCCTTTATGCCCCAGTAAGCGACGCCAACGATAATTGCTATCAGGTATTACGTGCCCGTGTAATCCGCCAGCATCTTCTATCTATTTATAAATACTATCTCCATTCGCTCATCTGCCGACAGAACTCCTCGCATCGAGGATAATATCCTCATTTTTATAGAAAATCCTCAACGATATCAGATCCCATCGCATATGGTTAGGTTTTGTCATGAAACCTAACCTCAAATTCAAGTTTCTATTCTTGCTCGAAAGTTTTTATTGAATAGAAAAACAGTATTTGTATTTAGATATAAAATTTAATTTGTAGAAATATAGACAAAAATTGCAAAGTGTTAACAGGGACTTAATTCCCAGGGCGTGACCTTCGTCACAGGATCTTGAGTTCTTCTCTTCAGACATGAAAAATTCAGGGCCGTTGCCCCGGACGAAGCGCCTTCCTCCTCTCGAAGCGTCTCTTCCTTTTTCTTCAACTTTTTCCTTACCTCTTTGTAAAGAGAGCCGACTTGCCGCGAAGGATCTTGGGCCGCAAGTAGCAGCTAGGCGTATGATACTAAATGCAAATGCACGACTTTTAACTTGTACATCGAGTCTTGACTTACACGTTCCTCGGGGAGTAGTACATAGCGTAATGGCTAATTACTGTACAAACTCGAGTTTCTTTTACGCACACACACACACACACAAATGCATAACGAGTTCCGACCACCGGATGATATACAATTTTCAAAATACCTCATTTCCTTCCATTTAATTTCTCTAATTAAAATAAAAAATTCAAAAGAAAAATATTTTACTATTTTTTATTTATTTTTAGAACAAAAAGAATTATGTACTTTTTGAATTTAAAGTTAAGGATTAGAGAATTAGGATGGTAAGAATTAATTCCTTAACTTTGACTATTGCTGTAACTATTAATTGTTTTTAATTAACTTATTATTAACTAATTCTTTAATTAATTTTACTTTTCAGGTACATGGTAGCTGGTAAATCAACGACTGAAAAATATGTCCTTAATAAAGTGTTTGGAAAAATAATACTAAAACATAAAAGTTACTGTACTGGAAAAATGCGAAGGAGCAATACTTTAGGGGATTTAGGCAATAATTTAGGAGAGGGGTCCAAAAAAGTCATTTAACGTAATATGGTAACGAGGGGGGTGAGGGTCTAAAAAAATAAATTGTTAACATAGTTTATAGACGGCCCCTTAAAGTAATGAATAAATTTTAACTTAAAATAAATAAATTATATTACATACGAGTCCCTTTTTAATAAAAGTCGAATTTAGTAAAATCAAAGTAAATTTTCATTGAATATTTCAAAGATGAAGAATTAAACAATTTTTTCTTATTTTAAAAGCTGTTGGTAGAAGTAGAGTGGATCGGTAGAGGTCGATAACTTCTCTCTAATCTTAATTTATTAATAGTTGCTCCGCTATTTGAAAAAACGTAACCTAAAAATTGTCGTTTTCTTCCCTCTCTTGAATGCTAAAAAATTTCAAATACGTTTAGTTTTTCTTGCAATAAAGTAGAAGTAAACAGAATATTTTTTTAAAACAAGTGTAAAAATTAAAACGTTTTACACTTTATAGCGTGTGCTTTTAAACTATATGTAAACAGGCGCAGGTTCAATGGCCACTCTCGACCCTCAATAAACTATCCGGTCATCCATCTATCCATCTACTAGTGTATGATGCAATCGTTTAAAAAAATAAATAAAACCCGAGGACAAAATTTGTTATCTTTTATTGAATTTAATACAATTTTCACCTTCAAAAAAATGTGAAAAATTTGATTAAATTGTATATATTACTTTACTGTGATCGAAATGATGAATTATGCAACATTAGAAGATAATAGTTATTAGTTTGATGTTCTTTAGAAGGTGTAGTGTAATATAATGTATGGTAATCGTTTCCAATAAACGGCCATAAAATCCATTTCGATCCTAACGAGGACCTTGACCGAGGATAACGGTAAAGAAAATCATAAGATTAACGATAGTACGATTTTACACGAGTATTTCTAGTGTTGGAGTTTGTTTTTTACTACTTACTTTTTTTTATTTATTTTTTTCTTATTTCATTATTATTTTCGTTCTGTTATGTCTGAGAAGGTGGAATTTCAGATTTGGGTCGTGATGTTATAAATGATCGTAACCGATGATGATGATGATTATGATAAAAGTGATATTTACATCACAAGCTCAATTTATCTTATTTTATTAACACTTAAGTACATGTTTGCTAATTTTTTATTCGCAAAAACAAAATTTTCTCGCAGGGGGAAAATAATCGAAAATTTAAAAATTCGATTTTATTAAAAAAATAAAGTATTAGTTATTTATTAATAAATGAAGAAGCTAGGAAATTAGAAAATTTGTTATTTAAAAAGATTAATTATTATAGAATTGATAAATTAAAAAATTGTAAAATTAAGAGATTAATTTTTAATAAAAAAAATTAAAAAGATTTCTTTTTTTCTGTTTCAGTATCCGATAATAAGAATTGTTGACGATCCAATTGAGGAGGGAATGAAAAGTTCGTCTGTTAATTTACCGTCGAATGTGGAAAATATTTCAGCAGGATGTAAAGATCTTTTGAAAAGACTTTTAAATCCAAATCCTAGAATGAGATTAAAGTCTATCCGCGGTCTTCAAAGAATTGCCTTCTTTATGAGTTGTGACATTCAAACTTATACTTTAAAGCAAGTAAGAAATCTACCTAATTTTTTAAAACTAATAATTTTATTATTTCTATCTGTAAAAGTAGTTTTTGTATTTTTTAACCAACTAATTATGAAAAATAAAATTAATTAAATCAAATTCAAATTAAAAATATTAAAAAAGTAAAATTAAATTTCAAAAAAATAGAATAAATTCTAAAATAAAATAAATTGGAGAAAGGTATAAAATGTTAAATAATATTTCATGTGTAATTTTGAAAACAAAATTATTTATGAAAGTGTTTATAGAATTGATATATATTCATAAAAACGAAAAATACTTTTTATGGATAGAGAAAATAAAAGAGAATAATAAAAGTATAAAAAATTGTACTAATTTTAAAAAATGTTAACTAGTTGTAAATTTATTTTTTCTGTAAAAAAAGGTCTCGCCCTTCAGACTGTTAGGAAAAGAAACCGTCCAATCGTCAGGAATGCACTTAGAGAAAGATGAATTTTACGATTTCGATTCCATTATTGCTGGAAGCACAAATCGGACATGGACCAGTTCCAGTCGGTGAAAAATAATTGCAGTACAAAAAAGTTTACTAGGTTTTATATTTTATTCCGTCCATGAATTAATTAAAAAAAGAAAATAATCTATTAGTAGTTATTTATTTATTTAAATAAATATCTAACTCGTCTAATAGACAATTGTTAAAATAAATAAAGTAAAATTGGTAAAACAATTAATTATCTAATAAAAAAATTATCTATTATTAATTTAATATTAATACATATTTGTTAATATTAATGTTAATATTAATGGTAAAAACTATATTAATAGTTAATATTAGAAATTTTGAATATTAGTTATTAATATAGTTACTAATTAGATAATTAATTGTGTGCCTAATAATTAAATTTTTTTAATTATTTACTAAATAATTAATTTATCTTTAAATTGCTAAGATAATCCGTCCATTAAAATTAATTTAGATATAACTATTTTTCACGTGAAAAATTTTTTTACCTCAGGAAAAATAATGTCAATAAAAAGTTTTAAAATAATTTACTTGTGTATTTAATAAAAAATTCAAATTGTTTTTCAGAACTAAAATTTTTTGATATGGTAAAATTAAACTTTTCTACAAAATTAACATTTTTAGACTTCGCACTCGATAATTAATTTTTGCGAAGAAAAAGAATTTTATGAAAATTTTTAAATAATTGAATTCTTTCGACTAATTTCATGCAAATTCTAAATTAAATAATTGAATTCCCGAGAAATTTTTATTATTCATGAAAAGAATTGAGTACTTACGAAGAGTTTTACAAAATTTTTTTTAAATAATTGGATTCTGTTTGGAAATTTTATGAAAATAGTATAGATATTGAAAATCATTGAATTGCAAAAAGTTTAATTAAATTTTTTTGAAAATAATTGAATTCCTAAAAAGAATTTTATTATTTATGAAAATAATTCAATTCTTGCAAACGATTTTAATAGAATTTTCAAAAATAATTGAATTTCCCCGAAGAAATTTATTATTTTTAAAAATAATTGAATTCTTGTGATGAATATTGTTATTTTTGAAAATAATTGAATTTTGCCAAGAATTTTCTTAAAAAATTCTCAAAATAATTGAATTTTCTGGAATAATTTTTTTATTTATCTTTAATAATTAAATTCTTTCGAAGAATTATTTATGTAAATAATTGAATTCTTGGAAAGAATTTTATTAAAATCAAAAAGAATAATTGAATTTCAAACAAATTTAATTAAAATCGTATTTAAAGTAATTGATTTCTTTCGACCAATTTTATTAAAATATTTGAAAATAATTCAATTCCTGTGAAAAATTCTAATATATTTTTAAAAATAATTGAATTCTTCCAGAGAATTTGAAGAAAACATTTTTTTTAAATAATTGATTTTAGCGAGGAATTTTAGTGAAAGTAATTGAATTGTATAAAAATTTTCTTGAATAATTGATTTTTTCAGAATTTTGTTAAAAATTTTTCTAAATTAATTGAATTCCTGTCGAAATTTTACTATTTATGAAAATAATGGAATTTTGGATTGAAAATAATTGAATTTTGAATATTTTTTGAGAATAATTGAATTTAATTAATAATTAATTAATTTTCTTTTTATAGAAATAAAGTCTTTAAATCTATTACTAGTAATAAGAAGAGGAAAATGAATAAAATCAGATTCGATATCAGTTTACAAAAGTTTTAATTTTTTTTTAAGAATAGTTAACAGTATCTTGTTTGTTACAGTATTTCATTAATAATACAATGAATTGCGATAATCGTACAATGTATAAACTAATAACAAAAAAGATAATAAGTTTCGAATTGAAAACACGCAGCATTTTCCATGAAATCACACAATTCGATTCCAATGATTCAATATAAATGTCACACAAAAATATAGGCAAAAAAATCATTCTTTTTAAAAAAAAAATCGCTATCAGAAATTCAATTGGATGCACAGCCTGAGATTCTCACATAATTCTCGAATTTCTGTTATTCAACTACTTATTTTGGTTCAATTTTTTTTTTTTTTTGCTTCCTTTCTTTTTTCCTCCTTCGTTTTCTTGCCTACTTTTGTGTGGCAAAACAATGAATCTAAGTGGATTCACTCTTTTCTTTTTGTTTCCACGTTTGAAACCATTTTTTTTTTAAACTACACACCCCTCGAATTTTGAGGGGTATTTTATTATTTTTTTTTGCAGAATTAGCATTATGTATATACAATATTATTCTTGCTTCCTAAATGGACCGTTTGGTCTGTATTTTTTTTTACTATTTACATAATACAATACTTCGATTATGGATTAAAAAATAAAAATTGCCGGAGAAATATTTGGTCCCTGAAGAAAGAAATTTTCACTAAGTGAATTATTTGTGGGAAATTTTTTCTATTTAATCTTTTTAATTTCATTTATTTCTATAATTAAAACATTAAAACGAATTCTTATACTGAAATTTTGTTTTTAGTAAAAAAAAATTAAAAATAACATACAAATTATTTGTACTTAATTTATTTTTTGCTTTTTCTTTTTTAGTTTTTAAAAAACTTACAAATTAAAAATTAAAAACTGTGAAATATTAAAATAATAAATATTTCTCTACATTTTTATTTTACAAATATTTTCTGAAAATCAATTTTTAAAAATTATTTGGAAGTTAAATTTTAATATTTAATAATTAATATTTTAATTCAATATTAAATATTTGAATTTAATATTTTAATGTAAAAATTACATTGTTTTTAATTATCATAAAATGTATTTCTATATTAAGAAATATTTTTCAGAGGAAAGTATTTTTCCATTTTTTTTAAATTAATATTTATTCACTTTTTTGATTTTTTTAAAAAAAGGAGAGGGGAATATTTTTTCCGGCAATTTTTCCATCTCCATTTTTGTCATTTCGTTCTTTACTTATTTTGGTAAACGTTTCAAGCATTTTTCTTTTTTATTCAATTATATCGTCTCCTTGTATTTTTTTCCACTTTCAAGCTCTTCGAATTCATTTTCTTTTATCGCTTATTTACAAGCACACAACATTGAATTTTTCAAAGAGCGTGAAAATAAAATCAAGTCTTTAATATTTTGCGATTTGTTCTATCTCTCAAATACCATTTTTTTTCTTTTTGAAATTGTAAAAAGGATGTGTCTAAATTTTCATTCAAAAATCTAGACTCGGAAAATCTTTCTTCAAAATCAAACTCTGAATCTCAGAGTTGTATTCAATTTTTCTTTTATTTTCTTTTTTATTCTATTTTATTTTTTTTCTAGGTATTTTATTCTCTTTTTATTTTGTTGAATTTAAATTTTTTGAATTTAAATTTGTTAAATTTAAATTTGTTGTATTTAAATTTGTTGAATTTAAATTTGTTGTATTTTATTTTGTTTTATTTTATTTATTTTAATATTTTTTTCTTTTAATTCTTTTAATTCACTTTAATTATATTCATTTTATTTGTAGAGAGAAATTGATGAAAATTTCTCTAAAAAAATTTTTTTAATAAGAACGCTTTGTAATAATCATTTTTCGAAATATCACAACAAAGAATTTTCCAAAGTTCCAGCAAAAGGAGTTTTTCTTTTTTTTAAGAGTTTTTAACTACTTTTTTCTAAGGATATTATTTTATGTTACCAAGTTTATTGCTAGGAGTTTCTTTTTCCGATTGTCGATTGCTGGATATTTTTCTACTTTGAAAGAAGTGAAAAAGAAAAGTTAAGAACAAATGCAGAAGCGACTTTTTCCATTTCATTAAAATCTATTTTTTTTTGTAAATAATTAATTTTTTTCCGTCACGAAAATTGAATTCTAAGTGTAGAAAAAACTTCCACCTTTTTTTGGAAATTCTTTTTTGGAGGGAAAAAAAATAACTAGATAGTGAAAAATTTTCTACTTGTAAAATCTTGGTACATATTTTTTTTTTGCTTTAAAATATCGACACTTTGCGCATTAGATTATTAAACTACTGATTATTTTTTTCTTTTTTTTTATCTAATTGCTACATATTTAATCTGCCTACTTTTTTCTTTTAGAATTATTATGATACATTGACAAAATCGTTCAGAGAACAATTTTTGGCATTTTCGTATAATCTCACTACGCAAGGATTATTTTTTTTAAACTGTTTTAATTTTTTCCTTTTTGTTTTTTTTATTCTTTTTTTTGGTGATTGGAAAAAAACACTGTTATCCTTTGGAAAATTACATTTATCGCGTTTGTAATTTCGCGGTACGGTTCGGGGACGAAAATTTCAAATTGGATTCAAAATTGTGTTTCTCAAAAAAAGAACCAAACAAAGAAATCGATACTAATTCGTTAGAATTAAAAATTATTTTAAAAAAATTATTATATATTATTTTAAATTCAAAAAAAGTGTTTAAAAGATATTTTTTTTATCGTCTTTGTTTATTTTACGAGATATGTGATATTTTTTTCTAAACAAAATTACTTGTTAACAGAAACAACAAAAAATACTTTACAGTTAACAGAAATTAATTGAAAAGTTAAAAATTAAGACAATGGGTAAAAAAGAAAATAAAATATTCGATTTCCATTAAATTGAAAAATCAAGTTAATAAGTTTTGATTCTTGAGACTCGGCGCAGTCACACAATTTTTCAATAATATTTTTTTCTTTTTCTTTGTACACAAAATACCAACTTTTCGTTTTTTTTGTTTTGTGCTCAAAAAATGCACATACTGCCACGATATAATAACATATAATTATTGTTATATATACTTTACGTGTAATATAGTCAAGAAAATGTATGTATAATATTTATAGTGTTCCACATATTTATATATTATAAATTTACATTTATATTCAAAATATATATTTACAATTATGTCAATTATATCAATTTTTTATCGTTGAGTTAATAATTATTATTATAATTGTCAACGATTGTTATTCTAATTAATAATTTTTTACAGTCATTAATAATTGTTATTATAGTAATTAACAATTATAATAATTATTAAGTTTAATAATAATTATTTATTAACTAATTGACATAATTAATAAATTGGAATATAATTAAATTTATAATATATATTTAAGGAGTGTATCATTCACGTTAGGGATTCGTAGCTAAAAATTAGCATTTCTTTCGTATTTTGAAAAACCGTTTGTAAGCGGCTTTTATTCTTTTTCTCCTTTTCCTTTTGTAAATATCGTTATAGCGTTCAGCAAATAATTTGCAAAAATTTATTAATATTTATAATATTTACAGAAAATTGTTTCTTATTTTTCCTTTTGTTCAACGCTCGTTAACGATTATTGCGAGAAGATTATCTGTTAATATATCGTTGTTAATTCTTTTTTTTACTAACGTATACTTGGATTCGATTCTGCGTCTCCTTTTCTTCTTAAATATTTTTTCATTAAAAGAAATCTTGTTATAAGATTTTTTTCCTTATAGAGATGCAAACTCGGTAATTGAAAAATGGATAGAATTCATTTTCTTTTCCTGCGAATTCTCTTTTTTTTTAAAGCTTTGAGAATCGTTCTAAATTAATTTTTATTTTTCATTTGGAATTGTATTTTGAAAAAACATTTACGAAACGCATTTTTTTCTTGTTGTTCTTTTGTCTTATAATTTATATTTTACAAATATACTACGGCTTTTCAAAGTAGCTCGCCGACCCGAAAAAAAATAATTTCATGGAAAAAGGAAAATTTTGTAAATTTAATCCTGAAAAGGAAAAATTTATTTAAGTTCTAAAACTTATGATTTTTATATTTTTAAAAAGTATTTTTTTTCCTAATTTTTTTTTTTAATTAAAAATAAATATTTACAAAATTTTGCAATTTTACAATTTTTTTCGAATTGAAAATTTGTGAATATTTTCGAATATTTTTGTTACAATTTTCCAAAAATATATTCTTGGATATTTGAAAAGAATTTTTTTTTCAATACATTAAAATTTCTTTTCTTCGACATTTTCTTTTATAAATTAGTCAATATTCGAAAACTTAGAGAATTTAAAATGTCAAATAAAAATTTTCCTCTTAATGTATGGGAGAAAGAGAATTCCTTTTTTTCTTCTAAAATTGTAGATTTTTTGTTCCACATATTTACATGAATTTTGAACAAAAAAATTTTTTTTAATTTTTTCTTTTGCAAAAAAAATTCAGTGGAAAACTTTGACAATTTAATGGCACAAAAAAATTAAAAAATTAAAAAACTTTTGTCCATGAATAATTGTTAAACAATTAATTTATTTTTACAATCAATTATTAATTACTGATTGTCATCATTGTTGTCAACAATGTTTTCTCTTAAAAAAATACATAGAAAGAAATTTTTTTTTCAAATTCTCTAAAGAGAAAAAATTCAATCAAAAATTGAAATTAAAGGTAAAACTTTCGAAAAAGTTATTTAAGAAAACAGTTAATTTTTTTTCATCAAGAAAAGAATGTGATGAAATAATTATTTAAAAAAAATAGGTCGGTAAGCTACAATGGAGGCAAAACGGTGTTTACGCGTAAGGGTGCGTTCACAGTCCAGTTTGCTCTCTAATTAATATAAATATATATTCTTATATATTTATTTATGTTTACAAAGGTACATTGACAGAAAATTAAAAATATTACAAAGTTTCACTTTACAATTTTTTGTCTTCACAGTGCTCTTCTTCTCTCGGAATTTTTCTGACAATTTTAACAATTTCTCCACTCAAAAAGTAGATAAATTGGCTTTTTTCTCATTTTTGTACAAAATGGAATTAGAATAAAATTTATAAAATTAAATCAATAAAATTTAATATTAAAAGGAATAAAAACAATAAATTAAGAACGAAAACGTAAAAAGAAGTTTAAAACTAGTTTAAAATTTTACTAAATAAAAATATTTAAATAAAATAAAAAAAAATTAATTTGAATTAGTAACTATTGAAGTAAGTTAAAACACTTTCGAATTTTATTGTAATTGTTTCGATGTAACAGGGAATTATTTAAATAGGTAAAAATAATTTTCGTCAATGGGGGATTTTTCTTTTTTCCAAAGAAAATGCGAACATTGTTTTAAAAGTGAGAGAAGAGAGGAGCTTTAAAAATTGGGGAAATTAATAGAGAAGGCAAAAAAATGTGAACGACCCTTGAGAAATAAAAAAAAATATCGCCGAGTGGTGAGAAAGAGAGAGAAAGAGTCAGGAATTGATTTTTCCGTGACTTTTGAAAGCACACCACTCGTATCACAATCGAGCAGCTACTGACGCTTAACCATTGGCGTGTTTATAATCGTAATAAGAATTGTAGTAATAATGATCGTAAAAATAATAATAATTAATAGTAATAATGATATTAATAATAGTAATAAAAATAAAAATAAAAATAATAATGATGATAGTAATAAAATAAAAATAAAAATAGAAATAGAAATAACGTCAATGGTGCGTCACAGCGTAATCAGAAGATCATCATCACTGTCACATGATGACATGTCGAATGATGACTTGAGAAGAAGCAGCGATTTTCATTCACTAGATCTCGACATCGAGACCAATGCACTGCACCAGCACCTAAAACCGCACCACATTCTAGCACCTCTACACAATTCAATTGTCATGGCCTATGGAACCTGAACAGAAAAATTTACATTTCATTAATTTCTCGTTTCTTCGCTAATTGTCTATTTCTATTTATTTACTTCTATATTTTTATCTAGCTATATTTATTTATTTGCACATTTAGTTGTATATTTATTTTTTACTTTTCTATTTTCAGTTGAAAACTATTTTTACTTTTTCTGTTTATTATAAAATACCAACTTTATCAATTTCTAATAAACTCATCGAATTTTTTCGAAGCACGATTTTAATTCCTGAAAATTTTTCACATTGAAAAGTTTAAATTATTTTCAAAAGAAAAAAATACTCGAGAGAAAAAATGGTATAAAGTTAAAGTTTCTTAAAGTTAAGAAAAAAAATTACAATATAAGAAATGTATAGAATAGACAAAGGTTAAAAAAATAGTAAAGTTACAAAAAATAGAAAAAAGAGAAATTTAGAAATGGCAAAATCGAAAATTAGAAAAAAGTGGAAAATAGAAAAATGGAGACAAAAATACAAAAATTGAAAATAAAAATAAAATGAAAGAAGGAAAAGAAAAATAACAAGTAAAATTAGAAAAAAATAGAAAGAAAAGGAAAAAATGGTACCTTGTCAAATGTCGACTGTCTTCATGAACCGCCATTTCTGAACTTTTGAACTCGTTCAATTCCTTTCTAATAGCTGCCTTGTCCTTTGCAGTTAAACGAGTCCACGGTTTGTCCGCTTTTCGATCATAATCTTGCGCCTGCGTCACTTCGATGTAATCATTGAACCTGATGATCTGAAAGGACACAAATTTTACAATATAATTAAGTAAATTTCTACCAAGTTCGAATAATTACATTTAAAATTAACTAAAATATAAATTTAATATTTATAAATTATAACATAATTAATAATAAACATATTAATATTTTATCAATATTAAATTAACTTTTTATTAATTGCAAGCAATAATATTTAACTAAATTGCTTTTTGAACCGTTCTTTTCAAAATTTTGATAATCTTCTACATTAATAATCGCTTTTTTGTTTCGTAACTTTTTTAATAACTTTTCGTTTTAAATATTTTTAATTTTAAAATTAATGTCAGGAAAATCATTGAATTCTTGCGAAGAATTTCACAATTTATAAAAATAATTGAATTCTTTTCAAGAAATTTATCATAATTTTGGAAAATAATTGAATGTTTTGAACGAATTTTATTAAAATTTTTGAAAATAATTGAATTTTATTAATATTTTGAAAAATAATTGAATTTAATTAATATTTTGATAAATAATTGTATTCTTTCGAGAAATTTTACTAAAATTCAATTAAAAAGAATTGAATTCCTCCGAAGAATTTTATTATTTATGAAAATAATTGAATTGTTTACAAGAATTTTTTAGAAGATTAGAAAATAATTGAATTCTTTCGAAAAATTGAAAAAAATTTAATTGAATCAATTCGTGAAATTTTATTAAAATTCTATGGAAAATAATTGAATACCTAAAAAAATGTTTACTAATGTATTTATAAAAAATAATTGAATTCTTCCGAAGAATGTTATTATTTATGAAAATAATATAAATTTTTTCGAAGAATTTAATCAAAATTTTTAAATATAGTTGAATTTTTCTAAAGAAATTTTATTTAATATTGTACAGAATTAGTTTTTTAATTTCTATAAACAGAAATTTAATTTTTTAAGAATTTTATTAAAAAATTGACATAATGAAATTTTTATAAACAAAAATTGTATTGTAAAATGATAATTTTGTAATTTTTATAGAATGTAATTTAATATTTTACAAGAAATTTCTTAAAAAATTAGGAAAATAATTGAATTTTTAAAATAAATTTTGCAGACAATTTTAGAAATAATTGAATATTTGAATTATAATTGAAATTTCTTAACTTCTGAAGAAGATATTTGAATATTTTTCAAGAAATTTATCAAACGTTTTGAAAATTAAGGAATTTTACAGAAAAAAAGATTTAAAATAACCGAAAGGAAACAAGAAGGAAAAAATTTAAATAGTTGAAAATAATTGAAAATAGTTGAATGTTTGCAAAGACTTTGCTATTTAAAAAAAATAATTGAATTGTTTCAATGGATTTATTAAAATTTAAAAAAATATTTGAATTCTTTCGTAAAATTATAGTAAAAATTTGTTTAAAATAATTGAATTTGTGCAAAAAATTGTACTATTTATAAAAATAATTGAACTCTTCTGAAGAATATTATTCATGAAAATAATTGAATTCTTGCGAAGAATTATATTAAAAATTTTGAAAATATAAACAATAATAATTAATTATGTGCTTAATAAGTGAATTTTTTAAAATTTGATTACGAAGTTATTCAAAAATTAAAATTTGAATATAAAAAATTTTGTAATTCACATAATAATAATAAATATAATAATAAAAATTTTTTTTTGAGTTTTTTTTACCTTCTTTTCTTTGAGTTCGTCCACCGTTGGTCGGAAGCTCAATTTTCTCAACAAATATCGTTTCTTCTCTTCCTTTTGCTTCTTTTCTTCCGCCGGACTTTGTTCTACAAAATACAAATAATTAATAAATTTACACTTCAATAAAATTAGAGAACAGAATTTGCAAAAAATTACAAAAACTAAAAAATGGTATAGAGAAAATATTTACACAAGTTTAGAAAGATTGAAATTTATAAAATTTGAAAATTTACTTTGAATTGAAATAATTGATTTAAAAGAAAAAAATAAATTTTTAACAGAGAAGATAATTTTTTTGCAGAAAAAACCAAAATGTGGTGAAAAATACGCACTTTTCAAAATATTCCTCTCTTCCAGTTCTTCTTGTGTTGGTCGCATGCTCAGTCGCCTAAAAAGAGGAGAAAAATAATTTATTAAAATCCGAAAGAAAGAATTGAAAAGTTGTAAATAATTGTAATAATTGTAATAATTGTTTTCGAAAAATAGACGAACCTGATGAGCTTGGCACCAATTGCCTCCTTCGTCTCCTGCCTCTCATTGTCAGATTGTATCTGCAGGATATTCCTGTTGATGAGTTCCTGACGATCGGGCCTCAAGGCAAGTTTCAACGAGAGAGACTCCTTACGAGCAATTTTCGCTGCCAAGCGATCTGGAAACACCAAGAATAAAAATAAATGAAATGCATGCAAATTTAAATTCACTTTTTCCACTAATTTTCTTTTTTTCTTTTTTCAAAAATATTTGCTATTTTCTCTTTTTATATTTGTTTTGCTTTTTTTTTGACTTTTTTACCCTCAACAATTGCCGAGCAGCTTTTGCTTCTTTGTAGAAGAGGCTGCTGTTGATCGAATGATTTAATTGTCGCACACGCGATCGACATTGTTGATGCCGTCCAAATCGACAGCATAATATCGTCATTATTAATTTTACTGTTATTGCTATTTTTACTACTGTTACTAATTACTATTCCAATTAGTTGTTATATTTACTATTTTCTTCTTGTTAGTATATTTTAATCTTTTTATTATTGATATTTTTTATTATTAGAATTTTTATTCATTACTAATTATTATTATTATTACTATTGTTTTATAATTATTCTTGTTTTATTATTTTCATTGTTATTTTTAATTTATTTATTTAAAATAAGAGAAAAAGTGTTTTGCATTATTACAATAAACGTTAACTAAGTTAGAAAAATTGTGTTGTGGAAATTAATTACAATTCATTTAGAGTTGAGGACAATAAACAAAGTTACTTTCAAATTGTCGTAAAAAAATTAGCAACAGTTTTTTCTAATATACTTTTTCAAAACGTAATATGAAATGTATCTGTGTGTATATTCTAAGAAGCTAACAAAAGATTTGACGCGATACGTCCCTCAAGCCAAATCAACTATTTCATCATTTTCTAAATCAACAAATCACAGTCACAAAAAACACAATAAAAAACTTTCGACAACACTTACAAAATTCTTCATATTAATTTTATTATTATCATTATTATTATTAAATATTATTATTATTATTATTATTAAGTATTATTATAATTACTAATTTATATTATTTTTTACGGCATTACAGTTTCATTTATAATATTTTTCACATATTAATTATTTAATTTAATTGTATTACTACCGAAAAAATTACCAATTTACTAAAACAAGGAAAAAGAAAAAGAAATATGAAAAAAAATAGAAATAGAATTTTTATTTAGGTAAAATGAAAATTTACAAAATTTAGAAATTACAATTGAAAAAAACTACTTAAAAGAATTGAAAAATAGATTTTATAAAGATGAAAATAGTAGAAGAAAAGTTTGGAGAATATTTGAAAATTTTTGCTTCGGTTTTCTTTTTAATATTATCGAGAAAGCACGTTTTTCTTACTATCGAAAAAAATTAACACGAGCGCGAAATCGGAATGAGAGTCGAAATGATACTAAATGCTTGCCAAGCAATATTCGAGGATTAATATAAACTTCAAGGTGGTTGTCGAGTCTTAAATCGCGAAACTCAAAAGATAGTTGTTAATATATAGATATAAATGTCAATATCATTCATTTTATAATTTCATGTAGTTTTTTAATTTTTTATCATTTTTTTTCATTTTATGTGTAGTTTCTTATTGCTTTGATTCTTTTTCTTTTTATCTGTATTTTTTTTTTATTTGTATGTAAGTATTTGTATTCATAATTATTTAAATAATTTTTTAGATATTACTTTCTTTTTTTATTTTTTTTTTTATTTATTACAGACTTTGGACTCGATAATTAATTTTAAAAAAGTCACAAAAAGTAGCTTTCGAACTAAAAAAATAGAAAAATGTATCTATCGAAAAATTAAACTTGACGATCAAAAAAACTCGTTTTAGAAACTTCATAAAACTGACAAAAATTCCATTCTTTATTGAATTGCGAAAAGTTTTTCAAAATAATTAAATTTTACAAAGAATTCTATTAAATTTTTTAACAATAATTTAATGTCTGCGTGGGATTTTATTTAAAGAAAATAATTGAATTCCTAAAAAGCAGTTTATTATTTATGAAAATAATTGAATTCTTGCGAACCATTTTATTAGAATTTTTTTAAATAATTGAATTTTTCCAAGAAGAAATTTATTACTTTAAAAAAAAATTGAATATTCTTGTGATGAATATTGTTATTTATAAAAGTAATTGAATTATTGCGAAGAAATTTACAAAAAAATCTGTAAATAATTGAATTCTTGTGAAATTTTTATTATTTATAAAAATAATTAAATGTTTGCGTAGAATTTTATTAAAATTTCTTTTTAAAAAACTGAATTCTTTTGGATAAATTTATTAAAATAATATTGAAAATTATTGAATTGAGGAAACTTTTTGAAAATAATTGAAATTATGCCAAGAATTTTATTTCAATTTTTGAAAATAATTTAATTTTGGAGAATAATTTTATTATTTATATTTGATAATTAAAATTTTGACGAGAATTTTTAAAAATTGAAAATAATTGAATTTCTGCAAACTTTTGTAAATTTTAAAATTAAATTTCTACGAAGAATTTTATTAAAATTTCTTTGAAAATAATTGAATTATTTGGAAAAATTTCATTACAATTTTTCAGAATAAATTAATTTTGTCATGAAATTTAATTAAAAAAATATTCAAAATATTTATTAAATTTTAATTCTAATTCTATAAACAAATTATATCAAACTTTTTGAAAGTAATTGAATTCTTTTGAAGAATTTTAATAAAATTTTTCAGAACAATTGCATTTTTCGAGAAATTTACTTAAAATTGTATTAAAAAATGAAAATTCAGGGGTAAATTTTATCAATTATGAAAATAATTGAATTCTTTCGAATAATTTTATTAAAATATTTGAAAATAATTGAATTTCTGTGAAAAATTCTAATATTTTTGTAAATAATTGATTTTTTCGAATTAAATTTTTAAGAATAATTACATTTTTCGAGCAATTCTTTTAAAATTGTATTAAAAATAATTAAAATCTTCCGATGAATTTTATTATTTATGAAAATAATTGAATTCCTGAAAACAATTTTATTATTAACGAAAATAATTGAATTATTACGAAATATTTTATTAAAATGTTTTTAAAAAATTGAATTTCTGTGAAAAATTTTATTATTTTTTGAAAATAATTGAATTCTTCATAAGAATTTTATAACCGCATTGTTTTGAATAATTAATTTTTTCGAAATATAATAAATATTATGAAAATTTTATGTTGAATAATTTAATTCTTCTGGAAATCTTTATTTGTGAAAATTTTTGAATTTTTTGATTAATTAATTTAAAACATTATTAAAAATAATTGAAATTCTTCAATGAGTTTAACTATTTATGAAAATAATTGAATTCTTGCTTAGAATTTTATCAAAAATTTTTTTAAAAAATTTAATTTCCATGAAAAATATTATTATTAGTGAAAGTAATTGAATTATTGTGAAGAATTGTAATAAACATTTTGTTAAATAATTGATTTTTCGAAATTTTTTTGAAAATGCTATTCTAAATTAATAATTGAATTCCTGTGGAAATTTTATTATTTATGAAAATAATCCAATTTTGGATAAATTTTATAAATTTTTTTTTAAATACTTGCATTCTTTTGTGAAATTTGATGAAAATAGTAGTTATTGAAAATTAATTTTGGAATATTTTTTGAAAAAAATTGAATCGTTTTAAAGAATTTGATTATAATTTTTGAGAATAGTTTTTTGATTTCTAGTATTAGCGAATTCAAAGTAGTTTTTCTTATTGTTTTTTTTTTGTTTTTCCCTCTTTTAATATTTTTGTATTTTTCTTTTCTTTTTACTTTTCTTTCTTTTAATATTTTTCCTTATTTTAATGTTTTTCTTTTTTTTTGCGATTTTTCCTTTTTCTTTAGGTTTTAAAATTTTTTTTGTTTAAAAAATTAAAAAAGTTGCTAAGAGATATATATAGGAAAGGCGAATATAATTAGTTTAGACGATGAGACTTATTTGAAAACTTGAGCAATCATGAAACTCTCTCATAGTCTCATCACTTGCATGTATATACATGGGAAGTGAATTTGAGAAAATAGAGAGAAGTTATTATACGATCGACACGCTTCTTATCACGATAAAGTGATTAGTTGCCGGAGATAAACGTTCGTTCAACTTTTGATGAGTTTAGAAGATGTTAATTAACAATTGTCGATTAATTCCTTCTTCATTTTAATCTCAAATAAATATCCCCTACTACAGTTGTCATTACTTTATTACAAAGCCTAAAAAAATACATTTTCGTCTCTTTTATTTTGTTTTAACAAGAAACTGATCAATATTTGCTTTTTAAAAAGTGAATAGATACTTTATTAAAAAGCAAATATTAATTATTACAATGCAGGATTTTAGTTGGACATTTATTATTAACAGACTTACTCTTTTCATCGTCGTAATCCTCTCTGTAGAGAACTTGTCCATCGGTCGATTCATCGTCCGAATCCTCTCGTATAACGTACGGCCTTGCATTCTCTTTATTCTCGAGAGTACAAGAAAGAGCAAGTCCAAATCTCACTGGTCGACTGCTGGAAATATTGGGGAAAAAATCATTTTATAAGCGAACAAAATTTAGACGTTGAGAAAAAAAATTTATTGTTGACGCCCCGTGAACCAATGTTCTACTCTAGAAATGATTTTGAATTAATGTTCAACGAACGAAAATGATTTCTTCATTTTTTTTCTATTATTTATTTTTTATTATGACTGCGTGTAGTAAATTGTGTTTTTTAGTGCCGAATTTTTATAATAATTATTACAATATTTTACTATTTATCAATATTTTTTTTAACAAAAGTGAATATAAAAATGAATATTTTTTTTCAAAAAATGATGTTTATAAAAATAAATATAGTTTTTTGGAGAAATATTTTTGACAGAAATTAATATTTTTAAGAGACATTTTTGACAAAAATAAATATCTTTTCCAGAAATATTTTCGATAAAAAGAAATATTTTTGAAAGTAATAGATTATAAATATTTTAATAATTGTTATTATACTTTTTTGCTTGTGTAATAATTATTGTCATACAATTCATCTTGACATGTAATAATAATTATAATTTCCTCTACAAAAACAAAAAATACATTAATTGAAATATGTTATTGAGCAATTTGTTTTGAATTGAAAAATTTTCTCATGCTTAGTGATAAAAATGAGAAAAGAGAGAACAGTTTGGTTACCTGCGATCAACCATCGAATTTTTTTTTGTTTTGAAATTCGATGTTTTATTCGAATAATTTTTGAATTGGTATAATTAATCGAGACGAGTTCAATTACCATATCCTCATCCTAGGCCTAAGAGGCTGTCTTCTGGTTAAGCATAAGAAAAATACAAATACGACCTCGTTTACTAGTGACTGAGAATGTTGGTGAGGAATGTATGAGCTATGAGAGTGATTTTTGCCATGATTTTTGCGATCTGATTGAAATGGGGTGAATATTTGTTGTGTCTCACTTGAAGGACGCGTGGAGTTCCTGGCGGAGCGTGAGCGGCCTGTTCTCCTGCGTGGGAGTGTTCTGCGGCGTGCCGGGTCCACTGCCGGGGCCCTTCTTCTTCAGCGCACTCTTCAGGGGCATCGCGTGGAACTTGGGCTCCTTGGCGGGGATCTCCTCGACCCGGGAGGTGTCGAAGACGGGGTCCGAGTGCACGTTCCGAAAGCCGTACATGCTGTCGTCCTCGTCCTCCACGTCGGCGTCTTCGTCTGCAAAAAGGGGCAATGCTTTCATTCCATGTCCAATTTTAGAATTTATAATTTGTAATTAATTTCCAAGTTACCATCGTCCTCGCAGTCGGAGAGAGGTAGGGACTGCTGCTGCTGCCTGCAGAGAGACGTGGGGCTCGGCGAACTGAACATGGGAGGCGGGGGAATGGGGCCAATTTCGCTGAGAGGAATCGGCGGCTCCGGGAGTTCCGACAGCATCAGGTTGCCCGGCGAAGGCAGGGGGAAGCATCTCTCGATGATCTGCTGCTCGTCGTTGGGATGCAGTCCTCCTCGCTCGACTTAAAAAAAGAATCATCAAAATTTATTCTTTTCTCTTTCTCTCTCTCTCTCCACTAAAAACTAGGATTATTACTTCAAACTAATTCAAAAGAAAAAAAAAATTCAAAGCTTAGAATCAAAAATTATTATTAATTAAAATAGTAAATTAAAATTTTTTAAATCAATTAAAATAGTATTAATTTAAATTAATTAAATTGTAAATAAGAAGCAAATATTACTTTTTAAAAAGAAAGAGAAAAATCAGAAAGTTAACTACAGATTCGAAAATTATTATCAACTGAAATAAAAAATTGTAAAAAAATAGAAAAGTTAGGAGACTTTTTCTTCATAGGAAAAAGAAATAGATTGAGGGTCGTATTCCAACCAGAACGTTTAGCGTGTACATGAAAGGAGGAGAAATTCTTTTTTCTTGAAAAGTACAACACGAAGTTGATGAAAATATGGAAAGGTTACAATTTACCTCGTGTAAATGAGTAAATGAGTTTCGACAGACTTCGAATTGTACTAAAAAAGCAAAAAAACATTCAAATAGTTGTAACATTTTGAAAAAAATGTTGTTAAAAAATGTTAATCCTAAATTTTCAAAATCGAAATTTTGAGTTTTTTTTTAAATTGAACTTTAGGGATATGGTATTCGTTTTCTACTAAAATAAGGCCGACGATTTCAAATTCGTTAGTAGAAAAAACGAGAAATAAAAACAAGTTAATAAGAATAATAAAATAGTATTAAAATTTAAAACTAAATAATCAAGTACATTAAATTGACAAAAACTAGTCTTTCTTTGCAACTTAAAATCGATCCCAGGCTTGCAAAAAAAATTAAATTGAAAAAATCAAAGCTTAGATTTAAAAAAAATTTCGATTTTGAAAAAACTCAAAATTTTGATTTTGAAAAATGAAAATTTGAATTTTGAAAAAAGTCCACCGACATGGTACTCGTTTTCTACTAAAATAAGACCGGGGATTCGAAATCCGACAGCAGAAAGGACTAAAAATGATAAAAAAAGAAGTCAAAGCCTGTTTTGCCCCTTCACCAGTTGGTTAAAATGAGATAGTTCCGAGAAGAATTGTTATTGTTTGCTTGGTCAGTTCTTGGCTTGGACGACAATCCCTAACCTGGAGGCTGAAGTGCCTCGGAGTCTTGCTCGTTGAGGTAGGGCTTGGGATTGCTCCAGCCCTCTTGCTCACCACCTAGCATGATGATCCGCCGGTTCGTCAGCCTGGTTCTCGGGTCGAGAGTGTTCGGCCTGTTGGGCTTCTGCTGGTCCACCTGGATCGAGGGACACGAGTCGCCCCCTGGCAGCGCACCACCTCCAGAAGAGTCGCTCGACGATATTCCGCCATTTGCACTCTGTTCAGTCTTTTCCTTCTTCGACTCTGTACCAACAAAAAATTCAGCCACATTAATCACAATTCTTATTTATTAAATCTTTAAAAATCAAAAATATCAACTGTAAATTATTATGGGTTTCAATTCGATTTCAAAATCATTTCATTCAGCATTAATTAAAATAAATTATTAATTCTATTCTTTTGTATTTTATTCGTTTCTATTCGATTCTATTCGTTTTTATTAACTATTTTACTATTATGTTGTAGTTTATTCGTTTCTATTTGATTTTATTCGATACGATTCAATTCAATTAGTTTTTCTGATTATATTCGTCTCTATTCGCTTCTATTCAATTCTATTCAATTCTATTCAATTCTTTTCAATTCTATTCAATTCTTTTCGTTTAAATTCAATTCTATTCAATTCTGTTTTATTCCCTATTCAATTCTATTCTATTCAATTCTATTCAATTCAATTATATTCAATTATATTTAATTCTGTTTTATTCCCTATTCAATTCTATTCTATTCAATTCTATTCAATTATATTAAATTCTATTCGATTCTATTCAATTCTATTTAATTCTATTTAATTCCATTAAATGCTATTCAATTCTACTAGATTTTAATTGCTTTTACCAATTCTATTCTATTTTATTCGATTCTATTTTTTCCAATTTTATTTGATACTGTTCAATTGTATTCGATTAATTTTTTTCCTATTTAATTTAATTCTCCTTAATTGTATTCGATTTTAATTTTTTTTTCTATTTATTTAATTATTATTTACTTAATTCGCTTTTATTTAATCCTATTCTTCTTTATTCAATTCGGTTTTTTTCAATTCCATTCGCAACTATTCAATTATATTTTACTGGATTATTCAATTTGATTTTATTAGCTTTTATTCGATTTATTCTTTTTGTAATTCTATCTGATTTTATTCCTATCAATTCTATTCTATTTTTCCCAATTCTATTCGTATTTGTTTAATTATCTGATTAATTTAATTGTTTTTAATTTGTTTTTATTTAATTTTAATTAACTCGATTTTATTCAATTCTATTTTTTTCTATTCTGTTCAATTCAAGTCTGTTATTTTATATTCTATTAGATTTCTTTCGATTCAATTCGATTTCTCTCCATTCAATTCGATTTTGTCCGATTCAATTCCATTTTTTTCGATTATTTCCTATTTAAATCGATTTTTTCCGATTCTATTTGAATTCTTCTTATTCAATTCCATTTTTTCTGATTCAATTCTATTTCCTTCAAATCAATTAGATTTTTTCCGATTCTATTCGTTTCTGATGATTTAATTCGATTTATTTCGATTTTATTCCATTAAATTTGGTTATTTCCAATTCTATTTGATTTTTTCCGATTCAATTTGATTAAATTTGGTTATTTCCGTTTTTTTTCGTTTATATTCGTTTTTTCCGATTTAATTCTATTTCTTTTGATTTAATTCGATTTTTTCTGATTTAATTCTATTTCTTTTGATTTAATTCGATTTTTTCCGATTCAATTCGTTTTATTTCGTTTATATTCGATTAAATTCAGTTATTTCCGATTCAATTCGATTTTTTTCGATTCTATTAGATTCGATTTTAAAAAAGTGACTAAGAAGAAGAAGAATAAAAAAAGTATTTAGAATTGATATAAAAAATAAGGAATTTGATAATCGGTGAATAAAAGTCGAGGGCGTTGTTAGAGGAATGTCATTTCTTTGGACGAGATCCAAAAGTGACAAGGTCCCTCATGTGAAGGAAGGACACATTAAATTTCATGTAGAAAACTATATTTTCATTATGGGAATTGAGATGAATTCTCGAGAAATTCAACTTAATTATAATTGTAACGCGCTTGCCGAGAGAAAATACGACCTATGGGACGAATCTGGAACAGATGAACAATTGTCAAGAGGAAATTAAATCTCAACATTATATATATGAGAGAGAAACCACAGGGAATCAATTTCAACATTTCTCGACAAATTTTTTCTCATTTTTATCGCCCGCTAGTGATTTGGACTTTAGCCAAAACAAAATGTTTCCTCGCACAATTTCAACAAAAAAGAAAAAAAAATTTTTTTTTCAAGAAAATGCTTTGAAAATTTTTTTTTTGAAAAAAACTTGATACTACAAAAGTTGTAAACACTGGCACTGGTTAATTCTTATTTTTTTGGATTATTTTCAAACAGAAAAAGAAAACTTTTAAAAAATTAAAAAATATTTTTAAAAAAGAAAATTATTTTTTACTGTAATATTGAAAAATATTGAGAGGAAAATTAATAGAGTTTATGGAAAAGGATAAAATTATGAGAATTAAAAGTATAAGTTTTTTTATGCGAAAGCGAAAGGTTAAATGATATTTTGCAATAATTTTTTATGAATACTTGCCGAACCAATTAAGTCGAACTATACGACCCATCGTCGAGTCAGTATTAAACGACGAAAATATATTGTTTCGCTATTTAATTTTACAAGAGTCGTTTATTGTTGCCCGGTTAAATGTCGACTGACAATATTTCTCGAGATTGGCGGTCGACTAAACGAAAATAGATTTTTCGATTACATTATAAAAGAGGAAGAATGCTATTTTTTTTCTTTTTATTTATTTTTCTTTTATTTCATAATCCTCGAAACGAGAAAACATTTTTATTTACCAATAATATTTTTTTATAATTTCAAAATACTACAAAATTATTAATTTAATAAAAAAAATATATATTTAATTCTAATTATTCAATAAATTAATTTATTATTATTTTCATTTATTTACTATTTTCCTTCGCCGCATTTCAATAAATTAATAAATACTATTTGGGTCAAATTCTTTTTTTCTTTGTATAAAATCATTAAAAAGCATTATATAATAATACAAATTATTTACATTTTTTTCTATAATTTAATAAAATACTGAAAACACAAAATTATTAAATTGAAAAAATGCAGGAAGTAGAACTGTTTCTCTTCTTAATAAAATTATTTTTCTTACTTTTGAGTAGACAAATAAAAAATCTTTTTTGACAGAAAAAATTGCTTCGATGAAACAATTTTCTTTTTTTTTTTTTTTGCTATTATTTTATGTAAAATTTTCTGGGCACGTCGAATGCGCATTGCGGCTTTGGCTCACAACTATTTGTCCAGAAGGAAGACCAAAAAACAAAGAGAGAAATTCCTTTCAAAAAAATGAATAAACGTCTCTCTTGAGAGGAATTTTTTTTTTTAAAGTCCCACTTCTCTATTCAATTTCTGGCTTATCTTGTGACAGTTCTACTTTTTTAAAAAGTGGTACAAAAATATTATTGCTAAAATATTAATTTAATTATTTCTGTTCAAAAGTAGCGGATTATTTTCTTTTTTAATGAAAAAAAAAATTAAAATTCGAATGAAATTAAATTATAAAAAAAAAAAAAAAAAAAAGAAATTGGCATTGTTTTTGAGATAAGAAGTGAATGAGAGATAGAATACAGTGACAATGCAGCTGGTTTGAAGTGCGATAGAACAGTCAATTGTAACTCTTGCGCGCAATGAAGTTTCATCTATTATCATGGCGTCTAGTCTGAAGCTGCATTAAGCACACATTGTTTTATCAGATAATAACTAGAATGTTTTGTCCCTAGAGATTAAAATATTACTTTCGGTAGTTTCGAAAATATTACTTTTTTTTATTATCCAAATATTTTTTTCAATAATTATTTATAAAAATTAGTAGTATTTAATATTTAGTAATAAGTATTTAGAATTGTAAAAATAATACAAATTTAATAAAAAAGAAAAACAATAATATTTGTAATGAAAATAGTTAAGTGTGGAAAGAATTTGTTTACCATATTTTTTTTTTTTTTTTTTTTTTTTTTTTTTTTTTGATAAAAATGAAATATTTTTCGAGTGCTCAACCGCATTGTTTTACAATTAATAATATTTGTAATAAAACTAGTTAAATGTGAAAAGAATTTGTTTACCATTGTTTTTTTTTCGATAAAAAGGAAATATTTTTCGAGTACTCAACCAGATTGTTTTACACCCCCTCCCCCACTTTTATAACTGATTGGAACAGCTGTACAGTATTTAAAAATAATTAGGTAAATATGCAAGATGAAAAAAAGTGACGACGCTTATTTTAGGGTGACCTACATTTATGCGAGAACGAAGGAATTTTTACCCGAAAAAAATTAATTAATAACAAAAAAAATATTTTATAAAAAATTTTCAAAAAAAACAAATTTTGTGAAAAAATGTCCATGAATGAAAGAAAATACTATAATAAAATTGTTTTATTTTGTTATTGCAATGAAATTTTCTTTGTGAGTTTCTTATTTCTTTCTCGCATAAATAAGAAAAAATTTACAATGAAAAAGAAGAGAGGAAAAATAAAAAAAAAATGAATACAATGAAATATGATTTGTGAACTTGAACTCGGGAGGGAGCTTTTCTAGTCTGTCCGGAGGTCATTGACGTATTACTTTTGTGAGTCGATGCGTCGCGTCGCGCAGCTTTCGTGTTCCCTCAACTAGAAATCCGCCTACTTTTATTATTTTTTATTGCCAAGAAAAAAACGGGAATATAAGAAAGAAATTCCGCAAATTGGAATTTAATATTAAATTATCAATTCCATATTTTTTTCAACTTGTACGGATTTTATTTTCAAATAATATCTTTTCTTTTCTTTCAATCGACAATCGACAATCGACAAATAAAAATAAGACAAAACGAAGACAACAAATAAGAAATTTTTAATTTAAAAAAGAAAAAACAATGGAGCCAAATACAAAAAAAACTCAAGTGTGAAAAATTTGCAATTAAAGAAAATAAGAGGAAAAAAAATAAAAGAAAATAAAAAAACAAGAAATAAAATAATAAAACAAATTGAAGATAAAATATGTACAATAATTAAACAACAGAAAATAGTAAAATAAAATACAAACTTTCTTTTATTTATAAAGCGAAATTAAAAACATAATTTAAAATAAATGAGAAAAATTAAATCATTCTTTCCGAGTCAACTCGGAAAGAATGATTTTTTCTCACGTATATAAT